TGGATGGATGGATGGATGGATGGATGGATGGATGGATGGATGGATGGATGGATGGATGGATGGATGGATGGTAGAGACAGACAGACATTCAGAGATAGGATGAGGAGCGGGATTTGTTCTGCTCGACCTATGTGGCTGCAACCATTCTGAAAATAGGTCAAATCAACTTGCTGAAGCTCCGTTCCTACTGGATAACCTAATTGGCAGCAAGAAAATGCTTAGCATATTCATCTTCTATCAGTTAGGGTTACAAGTTTTAATATACAGAAAACACAATTCAAATGACACAGGATACAAGCTGCCTCCCTGTCTAGGAGCTGCTGATAAAGCCCTGGGGTCCTTCCAGTGTGTACAGCTGCAATTCTTTCTACACAAAGGTTGTCAAAAAACAGGAGTCACTTGATATACAGGTTATTAATTTCCAAATTTTCATTAAGTAGATATCATTTTATTAGATAAAATCTTTAAAAGCATAACTCTAAATTTATATTTTTAGCATATTCTTGAAGTTGGACAACCAGTTTGACTATCAAATTCCAGAACAAAGAAACCACATCCCTATTACCAACCAGTCCTTTCCATGGCACTCAGCCTTCCTGCAACCACTTATAAATTTCCTGTGTCTATGGCTTTGTCTATTGCGGACATTTCATATAAACACAATCATGTACCACAGAACCTTTGAATCTCACTTCTTTCACTCTGCAAAGTGTTCTTAGGGTTCATCCAGTTGTGACATATACCCAGATTTCTTTCCTCTATGGTTAAATGATAGTCCATCATGAGGATACATCACACTTTGTTTACCCACACAGTTTCCATCAGTGTATAGACATGTTTATTGTTTCTACATTGGGGCTGTTATAACTAATGACGTAGCACTTTACATCTGTAGCAGAATGTTGTGTGAATGCAGGTTTTCACTTAGATTGCTTTTCCAGTTTGTAACCAAGCAGGAATTACGGGTAGAACCCATTGGCCCCTTCTAGACTCTAACCACCTTTACTATGATTCTCTTTCTTGGTGCACTAACCACTCACAGCCCACGTAAATCTTTTGTTCTGTACCCAACCACTGCCACTGTGCCACCTGTGTTCGGCTCTAAGTTGTTTAAATGAATAACTGAAGAGGGTCTGCCTCAATACACTCATCTATCTCAACCAAGTCCTCCACTGTCTTAAGTACAGTACTTTAAGCTTCAAACGCCTGCCTAATGCCACCTCTTCAAGCAAATCAAGCTCCAGGTCACTACAGTGAGCCTCCAGTTTCCGTGAGAAAAAAATGTTTTAATTGAGTTACTTAATCTTTCACTCTGCAGGGGGGGGGGGGGTAAGAAAACAAACTCACAAAATCTGGTCTACCCTGAAATTGAAATACCCTGCCAATGTTTCCTGTAATTTGCATTCCTTCGTCTGGAAACCCCTGTAGACTCAGACACCTGTTGCACAGCAGGTCTCCTGACCCTGCTCTGACTCAAAGTTGGGGAAAGTGAGTTCCTGTGTGGAACACGCACACATTCAGTCCCGATCTGAGAATGAGCATGTTCTTGGGGCTGCCCTTGTGTGTTCAGTGTGCGCCAGAGGATAACTCAGGGAAGGCTATGTGTCTAGCTGGTGCTGGGTCTCTGGGATCTCGCTCAGGGTCGTTCCCCAGCCAACTTCACAAACACTGCCTGAATAACGCTAGGGTTTCAGAAGAAAGGAAGTACTTCCTAGAGGCATTGATTCATTTCCTTTTGGCCCATTTCTGTGACCCCCCCATCCTAACCTTCTTATTAATTTTGGACCCACAAACGAGTCAACAAAAGGAACACATCTCCCTCTTTTCCTCATTGTATGTTGTTCTACAGAGCTCACTGACAGCTGGAAGGGCTGAAGCCACGTCCTAACTCAAGCTGCATAATCACAGCCTACCGAAAAGAGCAACTCCGGGTTCAAAACACCTCTGTTGTTCCTAATCCACTGTAGACTCCCTGACACCAAACAGCTGCTATTTTGCTCTTCATGGGGGCTCTCCGACCCCAAAAGCTGAAGGAGGCCCTATCTCTACCGTGGCGGCGGCTCTTAGCTATATATCCAGTTCCTCTGGCCCCAGGGAAGAGAATCCTCCACGCTCCTCAGCAGGTGTCACTCGGCCTCTGGAAGACTAGGTTTTCTCTCTTCTAAAAATAAACTGAATCTTGACCATTTCCACCTCCAGACCTCAGTGCCTGTTTCGTAGGAACAAGACTTTGATCTACATAAGGAGTGTGGAAACTGACCCAGCCCATCTCCTGTCTTCGTAAGTAAAGAATTAAGAGAGATATTCAGGGAGTATCAAATGGAAGAGACTTTATCCTAGCAAAGAACGATCCGTGAACCAACCGGCTACAACCTGCGCCAAGACAGGTTCCCAGTACTCGGCCCAACAATGTAAGCACAGAGCCGTTACAAGAAAAGCGGGCAACCACCCAGCTGGCTACAGCTTGGCATCTGCCTCCTCGGGGCGCAGTATGATGAGGTGGCCGCCTGTGATTGGCTGAAACAGATGCCTATGCTATAGGCCTCTGCTAGGTTACAGCTGTTTGGTTCTAGGCCTCAGTTGGAAAGCCAAATGAAAGGACAGCCTCTGGGCAAATAGATCTGGATCTTACCAGGATCTTCCTGGGACAGAACTGTCTCTCCTGCTTATATGTTATCGCGGCTGCCTTTCTGCCCCCGTAGCAGAGGTGAACAGCCACAGAGATGTTCACTCTCTGGCCTTCTATTGAAAAAATGAACTTGCTGTCCTCTGGCTCTTGGTATTTTTCCAGCCTGGCAGTCCCACAACCTGCAAGTGCCTTTTTTCCTCACCAGTTGTAACGGTTGGTGTTTGTTTTCAACTCCACACAATCCGGCACTTCCTGGGCAGGAGTGACTGTGAGGAACTGTCTGGGTTGCGTTAGCCTGTGACCATGTCTGTGGGGCGTATGTCATCACTGGTGACAGAAGACCCTGTGCTAAAGGTCACCGTTCCCTGGGTTTGGGTCCTAGATCGTATAAAAAAGGAAAAGAAGAGCTGAGCCCCGGTGGGCGGACAAGCATCCCTTTCTCTCCTTTCTCGACTGTGAATGTGATAGACCGGTTGCTTCAAATTCCCACCACCTTTGCTTTCCCCAAACGCTAGATTGGAACCTGGAACTGCAGGCTAGAATCAGCTCTCTCTCCTAGGTTGCTTTTGTCCAGGGGCTTTACCACAGCCACAGAAAAGAGACCAACACACCCCTCAACCACAGAAGTCACAGCAAAGCGACTGAGACTTCCAGCCTAGGATCCGACATCCCGCTTCTGTTACTCCATGTCCTTGTCCTTCCTACAAGAATCTCATCACCCTAGAAGTGAGGCAGGAGGACACCATTCAGTCCCAGCGTGTATCTCTCAGAAAGACACAGAGGAAGGGGGGAGGAGAGAGGGAAGGAGGAAGGGAAGGAGGGGGGGAGATTAATTCAAGGTTCACAGAACAGTACTGAGATTGTCCTGGTGCAGAGGAGCGCAGGCAGGTTGGGACAAAAAGCAGAATCTCCAAAACGAAAGGAAACTGAGCAGAGAATGGAGTGAATGGAACAGCTACTGGGAATGGAAAAAAAAAAAAAAACGAGCAGAATGAATGGATGCTTTAAATAGCCAGGGAAGAACCGAGCCAAGCGGAGTTCTGGGAGACATGGCGTGAACAACGTTCTAGCACTTAGGACACAGAGGAAGGAGGCCTTTGTCACTGGTGAGGAAGCAGCATCCTACAGAGAGGCAGGACTGCCCAAGGGAGCCGCAAAACCAACAGCTACCCTGCAGGGGCCAACCCCTGCTTATTCACAAGTCTCGAGCTGAGGTACGGAGGAGGGCATGGTGTGTTGGCTTCCTTCCTTGTAAACCTTACCAGGTCCTCTCCCTGTGTCTAAACTCACCAAACTTTAGTTCACCCACCAGGGCCTTTCAGAGAAATGAGAAAGGAGCATGCTGTCACTGGGGTGGGGCTTAGCTCTCACTGGAAGGGTCTAAGGCCCAAACCCTCCATTCGGCCCTTCCCTGGCTCCCTAATGTGGAAGGGTGGAGGATGGGACAGAAGAAAAACATAAGGAAGAGAGAAGAAAGAGAACTGAGATCATGGACAGGCCTCTGACAGGGATAACCATCCCTTTTGGGAGTAAAGGGAGCAAGTGGGGAGTGTGAAGGTAAAATATTTTTGCACCCCTTTCCTCAACTACCTGGTACCATCACACATACAGGATTGTCTCCTGGATGCTGAGGCTCCAAAGCTCATGCTGATATGGAATTGCCTTGTAAGAGGTAAGAACTCAGATGTAACTGGGTCCCCGAGGGTTCCACTCTTGGAGTTACCTTGAAGTGGGCGAGGTGTTTCTCATAGGTCCTCTGCTAGGAGCAGCTGGCTCTCTCATTCTCCTGTTTGCTTTTTCCCGTATAACACACACAGCCAGGGATCTTGCAGCAAGAAGGTCCTCAAGCAGATCCAGACCTTCCATCCTAGACAACTAATCTCCAGAGTCATGAGCCAAATAAACTTTTTTTGCTTACAGTGTGCCCAGTCTATGAGTACTCCATTGCAGTCACTGGGAACAGAGGGCTCTAACCATGTAGAGAAATACCTACCAAGTAATATACTTAGCTAAAATCACTACCATCAAAAGACAAAAAAAAAAGGAAATGCCAAATGAATATGTTTAGGTTGGTTTCATATGTTGCATATGACTAAACCTAACACTGCCTTGATTGTGTGTGTGTGTGTGTGTGTGTGTGTGTGTGCGCGCGCGCGCGCGCGTGATGCTAGGGACTAACCCAGGGTCTTGTACTCACTGAGCAAGTATTCTACCACTGAGTTCCACCCCATCCCTGCCTCAGTATCTTTGTTGATAATAATTGAACATGTATGACATACTAGATTCAAGACCCAGTACTACAATAAACATAATTGATGGATTTTATAATCTAAACTATATCTTTGATAATATGTCATCTCCTTTAATCATACATATTTCTTGGCCTAGTTGAGATAATTATCTTTTATTATAAGTTGTGTGTACAAAAATAATCATTTTTGTTATAAAGTTAGAATGAAGAATCAATCAATTGGCATAAAACTGTTAATAGACTTACATTGAGCAAAGTAAATGAAAATGTGTTTAAAGTGCTAAGATTTGTTTCTTTTCTTGGTCTAGGACTCGGCTGTAAACACTGATACAGCCTGTCTTCTCTCCAATAGGAAACTGAAGATGGGCCAGAGAAGAACTTACGTATGGCTTCACCTTGGGGCCCCTCAAATGTGAGTTCAAAGCCCAGTTGACTGGCAGTGCAGCTTTGATCAAGTGACTTAGTCTTTCTTGAGCCTCAGTTGGTCTAAAATGGTCTAAGGCTGAGAGAGTCAGGGAATCTGATGCCCTCTTCTGGCCTTTCTGGGTACCTGCACACATATGGTACAGATAAACTCAAATGGCACTAATACAATCAGATAACTTTAATTTTTAATTTAAATATAGTAATATGGTCTAATAATGGCATAACAGTCACTTCTTACAGTTATTTCAACCGTCAAATGAGATAATCTGAAGTTCTCACTGCATGTAGTCATCACTGTGGTTGGCTTCTGTTCATATCTCTTAGGACTTGGATGGGAAGTAACTGAAAAAGGCAAAGGCCCTGGCAAGTGGCAGGCACTGAATAAATGTAGCGCTAACAAGGACTCGATAGTTATAAATACAAAAACACAATATCAGGATGACTAGAGCCCACTAGCCTCAATGGCACACTGCCTCCTAGTCTATCAAAATGGCAGAAACTCCCCTAAAATAATAGTTGTAAGAACCCAAGAATGGTCCTAAGCCAAGAGCAGTTACATCTACCCTCAAAGACCCTGGAATTAAACTGCCCATGCTTCTCTGCATGTGCCCTAACAAATACATAGCTCCATGGGGACTAACATGGGCAGGACACACCAACTGCCCACAGGAGGACCAGCCAGGTGGAGCTTCCATCTGCACAGCTTGCATTTTGTGATTCCCTCAAAGTGAGACCCACGCAATTACAGACTGGTCCAGCATCCCTGCCTCTCCTCCTCCACTCAGCATCAACTCTCAGCATTTTCAGGAGACATCCTCGCCACCATTTTATCCGTTCAGGGTGAGTTGATGCTTTACAATTTGTCATCCTGGAGCATGGCCACAGAATAAACAAAGTGAGAATCTTTTTAAACCCCATCAAGCTGACATGGCCAAAGGCAGGTGGTGCTGTTCGGAGCTGGGAGCCCAGCACTCCAGTTTATCATGGTGGACTCCCACCACTCGGGGTTACAGTGAACATGTCATTCGTCAAAGCCACATCAACAAATACACAGAAGCTATGTCCACAGGCTTGCTGGGAGTCACAGGCACATCCCTATAAAGAGCCCAAACCCTGTCGCTTTCTGAGAAAATTGACAAGGCAAAGCCAGGTTGGCAGGATTTGTGACTGGTATTCAATGTTGGGGCCAAGCATGGCCCTGAGAGAAGCCACCATGAGTGTGTGTGCTCCTTCCTACATGCTCATTCACCTCAATGACATTGGAATGTACAGCAAGAGAGTCAATAACCACAAGAAAAAAAAGAAAGAAAGAGTAGGATTTCTATGAAAACAGGCTCTCCCACTTCCCCGAGCTAATTCTATAGAAGCAATAATGTACATCCAGGCATAAAGAGAATTCGCCACTGTGAGGAATTTACTTTGCTTTGTCTCTTTATGGAAGCAAAAGATATTCACAACCTAAGAAGAAAAATGAGCAGAGAACAATCCGAGGCCCCTCTGAAATGCCTGCTCAGGCTATTTTTACCTTTTCTCATTCCACTCTAACAAAAGCTTCTAAACATGGACTTGGAAAAGCCACATTTTAGTACAAGCATCTGGAAAGTTCCCTGCAAGCAAGAGCCATACATTATACTTCTTTGTGTCTACTACCAAGCAGAAAATAAAACTGGGAAACAGGGTTGGCTGTAAGAAGGCATGGTAACAGAGTGGCTGGCAATAAATAATAATAATAATAATAATAATAATAATAATAATAATAATAATAATAATAATAATGACACTGGCAGGAGTGGAGCCATTGCTCCAAACAAGACACTCCCATGAAAATCCTGTCTGGATAATTTGTCCCAGAATTTATTTAACATTTTACATGTATTAATTTGTGGGGAGGGTGGTATGTCTGTCCTGGTTGGTTTCTATTGTCCACATGATACAAACTAAGGTTATCTGGAAAGAGGAACCTCCTTTGAGAGAATGGTTTGTGGACAATAAAACTCTCAGACAGAAATTAGTCCCAGGTAGTGGCGTGTGGCTACACAGACTTGATTGGGTGTGTGGCTAGACAGACTTGACTGTGTGTTTTGTGGATTGTGGTGGCATTTGAACTTTGCGTTAGAAAAGCCACTGGGTGCTCCGAGCTCAGGGCTGTCCTTGGGAGGTAAGAATGTTGAGAGCAGTGCAAAAGATGGAGGCCTGGCTGTGAAGTTTCAGAGGGGATGTTTTAGGGTCCCTGAAAGGCTCTTTCAGGGCCCTCCTATATTTTTAATTTAGAACCTGTGGTTCTGGTTAACTGGGGCTGAAGAATCAAATCGACCGTAATTAACAAAAGACCAGAACCACAAAAGTGCTTTGCTGAGGCAATCAGTGTTGGTCAGCTGGGACTGAAAAATCAGCTGTGATTAACAAGAGGCCAGCATCATTGCTACCAAGTCTTCAGAGAAGTGTTTCCTCAGGGTCAGAATACAGAAGCTGTAGTCAGGAGGTGGCCAAGGCTTCATCTCATGCTGGCAGCCAGACTTGGTAGTGTGTAAGAGTCTCCCAGATAGTACTGGCTTTAAAGGCACAAAGGGGTCATGGAGAGCAGCTGAGACTTGGCATTCTGTGTCAGGGCTGGGGTCTCTGAAGAGAGGCTATTGATGAACTTGCAGCCTCAATCGCCTCAGTCACTAAAAGCCCCAGAGGGGTCATGGAGAGTTGAGGCCCAACACAATGTGGCCTGAAGAGAACCTGGAAGAGGCCACTGGGGAAGGTAGGTACCAGCTACCAAGCACTGAACTTTTTATACTGTTAACTTTTTATTTTGCTTTGATCTGATTGTGACCATGCCCTAATTCTTCCCTCTTGGAATAAGAATAGAGGTATCTTATTTTTGATTTTATAGAAGCCCCCAGTTGAGAGACTGAACTTGGAGACTTTGGATGTTTCTAAGAGACTGAACTTTAAAGCACTTTAGTTTTTAAAGATTGTGAGATTGATAAAGTTATTTATATTTTAGCTTGTGATATTAATATATGATCTTGGGAATAAACAAGAAAGGAAGGTTATGGTTGAACAGTGAGGTATTAGTACGTCAGGTTGACAAGGGGCCGGTTGTTCTGGTTTGTTTTTGTCAACTTGACACAAGCTAGAGTTATCCGAAAAGAGAAAACTCAATTAAGAAAATGCCTCCATCAGATTTTCCATATCATGTCTGCAGGTTATTTTCTTGATTAATGACTGATGTGGAAGGGCACACCCCACTGGGGTGGTTCTACCCCTAAGCAGGTGGTTCTGAGCTATATAAGAAAGTAAACTGAGCAAGCCAGTAAGTGATGTTTCTCTATGACCTCTGCTTCAGTTCCTGCCTCCAGGTTTCTGCCTTGAGTTCCTCACTGAGGGAAATCAGAGCAAGAACTGAAGCAGAGCCATGGAGGAACACTTATTTATTGATTTGCTCCCTTTGGCTCGCTCAGTTTACTTCCTTATACCTTAGGACCACCTGCTCAGGGATGGCACCACCCACATCAACCATTAACCAAGAAAATGCCCCCACAGACTTGCCTACAGGCTAGTCTTAGGGAAGCATTTTCTCAGTTGAGATTCACTCTTCCTAGATAACCCTAGCTTGTGTCAAGTTGACAAAAACCAGCCAGCACATGGGGAGGGCACATATACCGCAGAGATCAGAGGACAGCTTGCAGGAGTAGATTCTCTCCTTCCATTATGTGGGTTCCCAAGGATCAAACTCAAGCTGTCAGACTTAGCATCAGGCACCTTAGCCCACTGAGCCATCTTGCCAGCCCCTGCACCATTAGTTACAATGAGATCCAAAGAGCTGAACTGCCTTTAAAGCTGGCAAATAGAAGAAAGGATGGAGATTTATATTGTGGACATTTAAGCAGATCCTAGGAAACATCTCTAGGCCAAGGGCTGCTTTCTACAGATTCTAAACTCTTGTACAACTGGCACTCTTGCTTCCTTGCCCACCTTGGTCAATTTTTCATCCTTGTAACACATATCTAAGAAAATCCATTTAAGGAAGAAATGTCAGAGGTTTCAGTCCAGGGTCAGCTAGCTCCATGTTTCTGGACCTGTGGTAAGGCGGCATCATGACAGTGGAAATGTGTGGCAGAGAAGGCTGCTCACCTTTTGGAATCCAGAACACAGAGAGGGAAAGATTGAGGATAAGATCCATCTTTCAAGAGTGGGTCCCCAGCAACCCACTTTCTCCAAATAGGCCCCACTTTCCAGTAGTCCATTCATATACGAATCCATCACTGGGATAATCTATCTACCATGCAAGAACCCTCATGATTGGATCTTTTCAATTAAACTCATGAGCTTTTTGGGGTACATGCTACATCCAACCCATAGTACCTCCAAAGCAGCCTTCCCAGCATAGCAGCCCCCCCCCTTTACTGACTGTTTGTCACTGTCATTCATGCCTTGTTCTATGTACTTAGGATGCATCATCCCATCTAATCCTCAGAACAGCCTTGGGTTAGATGCTATTCGTGCTGCCTGTTTACAGAGAAATGGACTGAGGCAACTTTCCTCCCAGTTTCACTGAGCAAGAACACAGGACAGCCAGCCATCCCCAATCATGTCTTCTGACACTCGTGTCCTTGTTCCCACCTTTGTTTGCATCTCTGGAAAAGCTGGTTCTTCCTCCCTCCTCTTCCTCACTTTCCATCTCCCTGTCGTCCACATCTCCCCACCCTCCTCTCCTTCACCAGTGTCCACCTCTTGCTCACACCACCGGATCACCTGGAGTATCTGATGTCTTCCTCGTCTGGCCTCATCTGAAAACTCGTCTGAAAAACCAACTTCTCTTTTGTACTTTTAATTTAACAAATCTCAAAATGTATTTCTGCTACACAACATAATCCTTTATGGGGTGGCTGAATCGGACTAATTAACACATAAAGTACCTTATATATTTGTTTTTAGATGGAAGCATTTAAAAGCTACATTAGCAATTTTCATGTGCATAATACATTATTATTAATTACAATCACTCGATTATATGGCAGGTCTGTTGAACAGCTTCAGCCCATCTCAAACGTGTGCTCTTTGACCATCTCCCCAAAATCACCCCCTCAACCGCTGGCAGCTGCTACTCTTTGTGTTCTATGACTGGCTGCTTTAGAATCTGTGCATAATTCAGAACACAAGTCCATTTTCTTTCTGTGCCCTGTTTGTTTTATTTAATGTAATGTCTCCAAATGTATCCATATTGTTGAAAAAGACAGGATTTTCCTAAATCTTATGTTACTACTCAGTTATTGAAGTCTCGGGGGCTGGGGAGATGTCTTAGTCAGTGTATTGCAAGCATGAAGAATCCTAGCCATGACCCTTTCAAGCTAGAGTTGTTATTTCTAACCTATATAAAGTATTCCATTACAATTACATCTTCATAGAAAGTCCCATTTTCTAAGTAAATGGCTTTCTGAAATACATTTCCTGGTACAGGTATATATAATACCATGACTGGGCTTTCGAAATGCATTTTAACCCAAAGTAACCCCTTTTCTTTCCTAGACTGTAGACCTCTATTTCTTCCTTGCCGAGGTGGAATGGCCACAGAACAGTGCAGAAAGGAGAGGGGAGAAAAGAAATGGTGATCCTTAAAAGCTCTCATTCTGAATTCACAAAACAAGAACTACAAATGGCTGAAAGACATTTAAAGAAATGCTCAACATCCTTAATCATCAGAGAAATGCAAATCAAAACGACTCTGAGATACCACCTTACACCTGTTAGAATGGCTACGATCAAAAACACCAATGACAACCAATGTTGGAGAGGATGTGGAGCAAAGGGAACACTCCTCCACTGTTGGTGGGAATATAAACTTGTACAACCACTGTGGAAATCAGTATGGTGGTTTCTCAGAAAATTAGGAATCGAACTACCTCAAGACCCAGCCATCCCACTCTTGGGCATATACCCAAGGAATGCTGATTCATACCATAAAGATACATGCTCAGCTATGTTCATAGCAGCACTATTTGTAATAGCCAGAACCTGGAAACAACCTAGATGCCCATCAACGGAAGAATGGATGAAAAAAATGTGGTATATATACACAATGGAGTACTACTCAGCAGAGAAAAACAATGAAAGCATGAAATTTGCAGGCAAATGGATGGAACTAGAAAAAATCATCCTGAGTGAGGTAACCCAAACCCAGAAAGACAGTCATGGTATGTACTCACTCATAGGTGGATTCTAGATATAAAATAAAGAACAATCAGACCACAACCCATAGAACCATAGAGGCTATATATATAGCATGGAGGTCCCTAGGACAACTGTGGCTTATAATAAATTTCAGTTTTACTCAAAAAAAAAAAGCTCTCATTCTGGAGGAGGTGGGAATGGGGGGTAGACTGGGGGTAAGGGGAAGGTGTGGGAGGGGGAGAATAGGGGAACCCGTGGCTGATATGTAGAACTGAATGGTATTGTAAAATAAAATAATATATATATATATATATATATATATATGTTTAAAAAAAAAAAGCTCTCATTCTTGCAAAAGAAGTGGGCACCATGTCTGATCCAACATGGGTCAGCACTCCCTAAAGAATGAAATGGGTTAACCCCGTCAAGTTCTCTGTGAGCCCTAGAAGGTACAGAAAGCAGCTAAAGGTCCCAGAACTCCTTTCCAAGTGGCCCTTCACCCATCCTGCCCTGTCCTAGCTTAGGAGACTAAACAAAAGAGTCCCTCCACCACCCACTCTGATTCACCATCCAAACCCTGTTTCCTAACCGCTCCCATGACTTCATCTCTGAATGAAGTCAACATCTCCGCGTCTTAAGTGGGCATCTGAGTTGAGTATGCTCCTTCAGTTTGCTACTTCATGTCAGCCTTCAGACCAAAACTTGATGCAAGTGAACTCAATCAGAGCACCAGAGAAGCAGCAAGCCCACGTGGCTCCTCTCCTGGTACCAACATCCTTCCTCCATGACACTAGTAACCTTCTCTCATGGAAACACACCAACAGAAAGAATCTGAAAGGAGGAAAGAGAAAATAGTATCTTTCCCTCCTTTCTGGGGAAATGTAAGCACTCCCTCCCCATGGCAATGGAAAAGTACCTTCTAGGAGTGCTGAGCCCAGTGTGCCATGCACAGGATGACAGTGGGCATCTGAGTAGGTTGCTGCTTCCCAGCTCAGGCAGAGCAGGTCAGGACAGGGTGGCAGGAAGCAGATGCACCAGCAAAGGATAACTTAGGAATGGATTCCATCCCTAATGCTTAGTGAAGGAGCAACAGATTCCACAGAGAGTCGCCCTTATGAAGAGCCAGCCCTTGTTCCAGTACAATGGAATGGGAAACTAGCATGATGTAGCTGAGCTGGGTCCTGAAAAGATGCTAAACAGCCTTATCTGGGCAGTCACATAAATGAAGGTGATGGTTAACCCCATTCCAATACAGAAACCAGGAACCATAGAGCAAGAAGTAAGCTCATCTCCCTAAATGGAGCCAACTGGCACAGCATTTGATAGGAAGAATAATCCCATTATGACACTGGAATCCCAGCACTCAGGAGGCAGAGCCAGGCAGATCTCTGAGTTCGAGCCCAGCCTGGTCTACAGAGTGAGTTCCAGGACAGCTAAGGCTACTCAGAAAAAAACTGTTTAAAAAAAAAAAAAAGAAAAGGAGAGAAAAAAAAGACAGTGGAATGTGTCTCTGGCTGCTTAGAGGGAAGCCATGGGAAGAAAAGCAGTTGTGGTTTCTGTTAATCGTGCTCACATTCATGCTTTCTAGGAAATGTGAAAGGAAACACAACTCTGGCTTGAAAGCACAACAAAAAATCCACCTATTCACACTCCACAGGTTCCAAAGTTGAACACCAAAGTTCAAGACCATTCAAAAGAAACCAAAGCAATTCTTTTATTAGTACAATAAACATATTTGAGAGTGCTTAAGCATCTAAGAGAGAAGAAAGGACATTATTAAGAATGTGAGACACTTTTAAGTACAACCTCAGATAGACAAACACCACGTTATGGAATAATGGGTTCTCACCCAATCTTTCAGTCACTCAACAAGCCATTCATCTTGAGAGTTTTCCATGAACATCAAGGATCAGAGGCACAGGACATTCCCTAAGGAACAGACACAGCACCTGCCCTTGAAGAACTTGAAACGTAATGACAGCTATCATTACTAAAACAAATATATTTTAGATTTAGATCATAAAGGTCAAACATAAAATAAATCATGTACATGGAGGTATTTTTCCAGACCATGTTATTCAAGTGTTCGCCAATGTTATTCATGTAATCCCATGTAATCCCAGATAGCCATATTCCTCAAGCACCAAAAGTTCAAATATTCTAGCATTTGTACTCGTGATAATTAATCTCCACTATCAACCTGACTGGATTTGGAATCGCCAAGAGATACACCCATGAGTATGTCTGTGAGGGTGTCTCCACAGAGGGAACCTCCACCCACAGTGTGAGAGGAACCATCCCAGGGTCTGGGGTCCTGAAATGAATAAAAAAGAGAAAGCAGGCTGAACACTGGCATTCACCACTCAGCTCCCTGCAGACACCATGTGACCAGTGCCTCTCACTGTTGCCGCCATCTTCCCTGCTGTGGAGGGCTGCGTCCTCTCTCAAGCTATTACCATCTAACAGTCTTAATCGGGGTCGTTTTCTTCGCCGGTCAAAGAATTAAGAGACAGGAAAAAGTCTCAAGCATGACAGGTAACCGCAGAGACATCTTGAATAACACAAACAGGCGCAGACAGCATCAGCAGCTGAGGAAGGCCACTCAAGGGAGTGAGGAGTCACACACAAGAGACACAGAGAGCAAGACCATAGCAAAGGTCAGGGGGGACTCCTCGGAGAACTGAAAATCCCAGTTTCTTCTCAGGGGCTGGGCTTTTTAAGGTCTCGAAGGGTCTTCCTCCCCTGATTTGAGCTGGTCAGTTTGAAGAAAGACAAGATGACTGATAACCCACAACTGTTGTGAAACTGTGTCCTGATCCAGCCTTGAACTTGTTGAGCCTGTCCATCAGCAGGGGGCCTGCTGGTTGGGGGTCGGGAGTCAGAAAGCCTTTGTTCTAAGCTGCCAGGCTTTTGTCTCAGGTCAGGAGGGCAATAAAGAAGTCTGTCTCAAAGTCTGCCATCTTTGTTGCTTGGCCTTGGCCCCTCTCCCTATCTGTCTGCCTATCAGGGAGCCTATTAAATTCCTAGTCCCTGAAAAACATGAGCCAATATAAGCCTTGCCTTTCTTAAGTTGCTTTTGTTGGGTATTTGGTTGTAGCAACAAGATGGTAAACAATACAAGAGCTTTCCCTAATTTGTATCTTTCTCTGTCTATCTGTCTCTCTCTGTCTCTGTCTCTTTCTGTCTCTCTGTCTCTCTGTCTCTCTCTGTCTCTCTCTCTCAAATGTGTCACAGTAGGACTGTCCATCTAGAAGAGACTACCATTTGGATCAAGTTGTCTTACTTGACCATTAGAGAAGCTAACTCCTAAGAACAGCCAATGACCTGTCCAAGATCAAATAACAAATCAGGAGCAAATAGGAGCAAAGCCTCAACTGTCCAGACAGGCCAGGAACCTTCCTTCTATGAACTGCACTGGAAAAACTACGCAGAGAGAAAATACAGCGCAAAACAAATGCCAATAAAGCCTTTGTATCCAGAATACATCATCAGATCTGATGCCTTCTTCTGGCCTCCGAGGACACCAGGCTTGCATGCGGTTCATAGACAGACATGCCAGCAAAACACCCCATATATATCATAAAATAAATAAATGTTTAAAGTTCTCATAGGTTAGCAATAGACAAGACACAGAGGGTATAACTAAATTGGTGCAGGGGTACTAGTAACATACTCATAACAAATAGTTAGACCTGGAAATACCAAATCAATCCCCAAATGTGAAGCAGGGGCGGCACACTGCAGGTGGAGTTAGCAAGAACACCAGCTAGGACAATTATACTGTGGTCAGTGTGGCAGCATCACACGTGACAGACAGGCATGGATAAGATGTCTCCGGGCAGCACTGTAAAAGGGCACACACTGAGGGCAAAGATTTCTTCAAACACCGGAAAACAATTGGAAGTAGATGAATCCCGACGTGTGCATATTGTGGCAATAATAAAGAACATCAAAACGAATTGCCCGTGTCTATGTGTATGTGCGTGGCTAGCTCTCAAACACATGACGAGAGAAGAATAAGGGGGAAACATATGAAAAGTGGAGTAGGTTCCTATTTTTGTAAGTATTTCAAAACTCAGAACAATACCACATATTATATTCATTGAGTACATATGTATGTGGTAGAAGTGCAAAGAGGAACAGAGCATGTATTGAAAACAATGTCAATTAAACAAGATGCCAAGAACACACTTGAGGACAATGACCCCCTGTATAAAATGGGCGAGATGGCTGCTGGGGTGCATCGGGACTGCGGTGGGGATTTTGAGCGTCCCTCTAATTTATATTTCTCTTAATAAACGATATGACACATGTTTTATTTATTCCTCCATGCTATATGCTTTAAATATCTTATAACCAAATTTAATTGGAAAATGAAATTCTCATTGTTCTTATTGATTCCACTTGTATATACGTTAAAAACCCAGTGTGCCTTGCAGAATCGAAACAAGATGGGACTGGTTGCGGGGAGGTCTAGCCTCCGAGTCCATTCCTCTTCACTCACTTCCCATCACGGCCCAGAAGAGACTAAATGTAAAGAGAAGCCTTAGGCACTGTTGCAGCTTACCTGGGAGGACACGGGACATGAACCTTACAGGCATTTGCCTTTTCAGAAGACAGTTTTGCCAGTTTCTTAGTAGCTGTGCCTGAGTTTGCTGCCCAAGATCACTCTTTGGTTCCTGTCTCATAACAGATGACAGGTAAGCAGATAAACACAAGATGAAATCGTAGTAAGTCAAAAGGAGAGAGAAAGAGAGAAGATATATATAGGTAGTGGTGGTTAATTCTGACTGGGCATTAGCGAAGCAAACTCTCGGGTATGTCTGTCAGGGGGTTTACAAAGAAGATAAACGAAGAAGGGAAAACCTGCCCTGAATGTGGATGGTATTACCCATGATCTATGGTTCTAGATGGAATAAAAAGGAGGAAAAAAAGAAGCCAGCTGAACACAAATGTTCATCGTTCTTAACTTTCTAGACCGTGGACACTCAAGTAAGACACCTCAAGCTCCTGCCACGACGGCTTCATCCAGCTGACCCTCCACCATGACTTCCCTCCATGATGGGCTACACCCTCAAAACATAAGCCCAAAATGAATCCTTCATTTCTTATGTGGCTGCTTTTCATCAGGTTTTAGTCATAGCAATAAAGAGAGATAACTAGTGCATAGATAGAAAATAGGTAGACAGAGAGCCGATAGGTAGAAAATGTGGAGCTAGAAGAGAGAGATGGATAGATAGGTACTAGATGACAGATATATAGATAAATAGGAAGAGAGATAGATCATAGGTTGACAGATGATAAATAGATTAGATAGGTAGATAGGTAGATAGACAGATAGATAGATAGATAGATAGATAGATAGATAGATAGATAGATAGATAGATAGATAGATAGATAGATAGATAGATAGACAGATAAAGATAGAGAGATAGAGAAATAATTATATATTTCATGGACTTCTTTTTGTCTGACGTAATTTCCTATCACAGAAATTTATAAGGTTTCGGTGTTTGGCGGGAGGTTTGGGATACGAAAGCAACAGGAGAGAAAAGGAGATCCAGAATCCATAACTTTCCACCTGGTCCGCCATTGTCCCTCAGTTCACCTAAAGTAATGACTTCTTCCCTTGAAAGTGCCACACTGGGATGCTAATGTAAAGTAAAGGGGAACTAAAATGAGGTTCTCTTTTCAAACCCATGGGACCTTCTGATTTCCTGAATGGAATTGTCTTCAGAGGCTAATTCTTCCATGAACTATGGATTAAACTTCCTGAATAGCCCATGATCACAGGCCTACCCTGAACAGTGCAGCTTGTAAGAACTGGGCCTCTAACACATTGGTCCTTGACCAGTGTTAGTGACCCCTTTGGATTTGAACAACGCTTTCACAGGGGCTGCCTAAGACCATCAGAAAACAGGGATATTTCCGTTGCGATTCATAACAGTACCAAAATTACAGTTATGAAGTAACAACAAATAATTTTCTGGCTGGGGGTCAGCACCACATGAGGACCAGTGTTAAAGGGCCACAGCATTAGGAAGGTTGCAAGCCACTGGTCTAACACAGACAAAGACACTCAGCACATGGGCCCTGATGGGTCAGGTACAGACACATTCCTTCTCCTACTTCCCACTCGTACCCATTCTCCCTCTCTCTCTCGTTCTTCTACCCCTCTCCCCACTCTCTCCCTCTGCCCGCCCCCGCCTCACTCTTAGTCCAGGGAGAAGTTTATATTGACTTGTGAGGTAGCCTTAGGGAAAGAGACATGTCTACCGCTTTCTCATTTTATCCTTGCTTTTTGGTTAATATATTCAAAGTCTTCACTTTCATCTTGAGATATTCAGTGGGTTATCATTAATTAGATTCACCCTGGTATGCCACAGCACATCAGAACTTACTCTTTCCATCATACAGTATTACTGAAGTACTGAGGATCTCAACCCCCTCACACTCAGGGAACCATTTGCCTACTCTCAACATTAGGAGATCAACATTTTAGATCCCACTCAGGAGTAAGATCATGCTGTCTGTCTTCCTTTGCCAGGCTCACTGGCATCATGTCCTCCACTTCCATCCATACGGGCACAAGTTATTGAATTTAATAGTTCCGATGGCTAAATAATACTTCGTTGTGTTCACATATACAATGGCTGCTCCTACACAATTACCAACTTGAACAGATTGAGAGATACCAAAGCCCGCCTTGTGGGGAGTTTCTGGAGATTACAAGCAATGGAAGAACACCACCTTGAATGTGGGCAGAAACATCTAATGGGCTTCGGCACCGGCTCGAATAAAAACGAGGGAGGGAGGAAACCCAGGAACCCAGACCCATGACCTGCTTCCTAGCTGCCATGATGTGAGCAGCCCTGCCCCACCCACTCCCTTCCCCCATGATGTCCTGCCTTCGTGTGACCCCCATGACCATGGACTATAACCTTTACAACCATGAGCTAAAACAAACGTCCTCCCTCCTTTACATTGTTTTTCTGAGGTGTTAGTCACGGGGTCAAAGTCTGACTAACAGAATACACCATGATGTCCCCGTCTGTTGGTCCCCTTGATGGACACTGGTTAATCCCTGCTTCTGACAGCCCAACAGTCCATTCTGCTCCCTCCATCCACAGAGCCCCTAGTCCTCGGCATGCTCACTCTTCCCCTCTCCCGGGCTTTGACCTCAGATAAGCAATTACAACATCCTCAAAACACTGGTTCCTGTGGCAGCCTCTTTTCATGCCCTACCCTTTCCCCCAATACACACAGCTTTCATCAGGAGCCCAGCCTCCACCTCCCCACTGCTCTGTTCACCCTCCGATCCTACAATCCAATGTGCCACGGCTTGCTCTCAGCACACTGTTCGGATTTATACTTGTTGAATGACATCATCCATAACTCCTCACGGCAGATGTCCTCGGTACAAGTGAGTGGGCCACCTTGACCATGGAAGTAAGGAACATGACTCAGCTGGAAGGACTTAGGAAGGGACTCTCTGAACCCTTGCAACCAGAGAATAGCTCTGACGGCATCTCCCCAAGAAAGGAGACACTCAAAGTCCTCTCCACTGGCAGAGTCAAGTAAATACATAAATGCCCTGGCAGCTCGGGCACTCTGACAGGACTCCTTCATGGAAAATAGGTTGGCAGATGAAGGTATTGTCCTCTCCACAATGTTGTTCCCCTTCAGGGCACTGAGAGACTCTAAAATATGAGGTCAAAAAGATTGGTCACAGTCTACGAGACTATGAAATCAACACAAGAAAATAAACAAAAGATGGTGTGCTGGCCACGGCCGTTCATTCTGCATGCTACCTCCTGCACAGCTTATTGGAACCAGAGCACAAGGCCCAGGTCTCCATGCAGACTTTGAAAACCCATCTGAGGAGTGACAAGAGTTCCTTCCGAATCATTGTGTTCCTCATTCAGTTCAACCCTATTCTTCAAATGGAAAAAGTTAGCCTCCAGAACCCAGTGCATGCATCTTAAAAAGAAAAAAAAAATAGATGAAAATTCACATTTTTTCAAGGTTAATAAAAGATGGTCCCTTTCAAGCAACCTTCCTGCCTAGGAGGCAGCAGACATGGGCAGGAAGCTGCTCCTCCAACCCCATGCCTCCCAGTTTTAATTCTGTCACTCAAGCCATTAAGCAGAGTCTCCATGTGGATGAGGACAGTGATAGAGAGTGGAAACTGTCAACGAACTTCTCAACCCTGTCTATCAATTGCTCTTTGGGTGAGACTGTCACCAACGAGAACCAGCAGTGCCCTGCTGTGTCATCTCCAGGAAGGCAGTCACCCGCTGTCCCAGCCGACACACCCTCAATGGGAGAATCCTCCATTCAGACATTCACGGAGCTGTCCCGACTCCGAGCACACTGTTACACCTGCCAGATGTGAATGTACACTGGACACAACCACTGGTATAGCTTCCTTGAGGAGTTGGAATTTCTGGAAAGTTCTCTGGACTCCAGAACCGTCAGTGGACTACCAGAAAGCTACCACATCAGAATAAGAAACCTTCATGAACACTTAATCCCTGCATCAAAACTGACAGACAGCTGAGTCCTTTGCCCAAATTCTCATCTGACACCTACGTTTTCACCCTTTCTGTTGTTTCTTATTGCTGTGGTTTGAGTGACAGTTATGAGTTCCCAAGTTCCAGTGTCCAGGCTTGGGCTCCAAGATGACACCTAGGTAGATACTATGGACCAGGATGCGGCCGGGCCTTGTGGGAGGTCTGTCAGTCATTAGGATTGTGTCTTCAATTAGGACACTGTTCTCTTAGTATCTTTCTGTCTTTTGGCTCAAGATGCGAGCCCTGTCCCCGGCACATGCCACTACCATTTCGTTCTGCCTCTCTTTACCAGAGGCCCACGCTACTAGGACCACTGTGCTCAATCTTCCAGAGCTGTAGGCCAAATAAACCTCTGCTTCCTAAATGGCCTGTGTATGCTGGGGGATGGCTTTCTGTACACTGTGAATATATGTTGCTCCCATTGGTTGATAAATAAGCTGCTTTGGCCTATGGCAAGGCAGCTTAGAGGCAGGCAGGAAATTCAAGGAAAGAGACAGAAAAGAGAAAAGTGGAGGGAGAGAGACACCAGACTGCCATCCTAGGAGCAACATGTAATGGGATGCAGGTAAAGCCACAGAACAGGTGACGGTCCATAGATTAATAGTTATGGGTGGAGTTAAACCTTACGAGCTAGCTAGC